AAAATAATAGTGATTTCAGATAGAGGCGTATTCCTGGTTTTAATCACTATAGATTTTACTGGCTGCATTTTCTTAGTCATTGAAAAATTCAACAAGATTTAAATCTGATTGAGGCTTTTGTGTAGTATGGGCTGACACTGAATTTTTACAGAATTTGATTTTTTTATCTCAGACAAGTTTTTAAGTGATTTTTAAGGTTTTTCTAGCTTTAACACAGCCTATTGATGCCTTTACTTTGGCTCCTTGTTTGGTAGTACCCCGTTCCCTAGGTCTGGGTACATGTGACACCCCAGCACCTGATCTAAGGATCTGATTATAACCTTTATTTATATTTTTAAAAGCCAATTGAGGCATTGTAATTTCCATCTTACTTGTGAATCAAATCTGTCTGTCCCTGGCTCCTATTTTGCTATGATTATACCCAGACAGTTCACTATTGGCTGTAGATGTTACAGCCATCTATGATGTCAGAGCAGCAACCTTACCTGGGCATGTGAAAGGGTGGGAGCTGACGTGCTCCACACTGACCCATGCTGACAGAGGCTTAGAAAAGGCAAGCCATGGCTGTCCACTGGCTCCAGGACAGAGGCACAGTTCCTGGGTTCCCTGCTGTGGCTGACACGATGTTTTGACAAAGCAGGCATTTGGGTTCCCCCTTCCTCCCTCCTCCCCACTCCCTTGCTCTTGCCTGGTGCCAGGCTCCACCCAGTTCCTTGGTTCCCACTGTGTGCCGCTAGCTTGTATCCATCAGCCCTGTTCAAAAACCCAGAGATCTGTAGCACATGCAAAAACTTGTATCTCGACAATCACCATCAATCACATTAAGCATGATAGTTATTCCTTTTAAATTTAGATCAGATTTCCCAGTATAAGACCAACTGTTCCCTCAGGTGGGGGGCCCCAAATTCCTGTAGGATTTGGAATAAATTTTTCACCTCCAATAAGAGTGACTCTGCAAGCTGCAGGAAGATCTAGTCCTGCACTTTGTAATTCAAAAGGCATATGAACAAAAAACTCATTAAGATCATTTTGCTGCTGTAATAGACTTAAACTGAATGAACTAGATTCCAAGTTGAGAATATCTCAGAGGAAACGATTTTTCCTGCACTGTGTGCCTTTTTAAGACTTTTTTCCAGCTCTTTTCCAATTGTCAATATCCACAGTGCCTGCCCAAGGAAACCATGAATTATATTTGGTTACTTCTTGTAATATTTTTGTTAGGTCTATTTTTTGGCACAAGAGCCCCTGAGCAGTTAAGCAAACCTTGGAGCAGATTTATGTATCTTTGTTCCTTGGATGAAAATTTTTGGCCCATTTTACTCCTGGATAAAAATGGCTTGTTAATAGCAGAAAGACTTACCTCTATTTCTTGTGGAATGATTCTCTTCCTTCTCTTCTCTGGGAGTCCCCAGTGAAGTTTTCTTCCTGGGAAGGGCTCCTCCATCTCTCATACTTCCCACTCTAGGTAAACTTATTCAGGCTAAAAATTTCCAGTCCAAGGATCTTATATCCCTGTTCAGGCACCAGTTATCAGGTTAATATTATCAGGTTAATATTGTCCAGTTATTTTGGACGGATCAGGTCCACAAACTCTTAAAGGAGTGGACGGCAAAGGCTAAATAAGAGACACATGGTATGCGTTCAGGGTTCCAGGAGGATCCAAACCCTTTCACAGAATTCAAGATTCTCTGGCAGCTAAGACCAAGACCTTCTCTGGAGAGCCTGTATTTATTTAGCTATCAGAAGAAGGGAGGGGAATACTCAAGAAGGGTGGGAACCACTCAAGGATGTCCCCAAGTAAGGTATTAAATTAATTCACACAGGAGTGAGAGGCCTGAGGCTACAGTCTTTATCTAGTTGAGGTTGGAGCCAGGTGTCTTTGGCTGTGACCTTGTCTTGTCCTTTGAGGCTTTCTAGCTTCATCTGACATTACAGTCCTTGAGGCTTTCTAGCTTCATCTGACATTATAGGCCTTGGACACACTCACAAGTAAACATGGAAAGCCAGTTGGTTCATTTAAGTCCTGCTCAGAGCTGCTTCATAGTGGTCTGCACCAAGCTGTGTTGCATACAGTTGTGCTATTTAAATTTGAAAAAGATAATGTACATGACCAGTACGGGTATGAAGTGAGGTCATTTAAATAACTGTCTCATGAACTATAAAGCACAGTGCAGGTACAAGATGCTGAGAATCAAGGAGGTGAAGGCCAGGTTCAAGGAGTTCATGTTCTGTTGGTTTTGTTTCGTTTGCCCTGTTCCCCGGATTCCAACAGACACCTAGGTAGAGAAGCAACACCTTCTAGGGAGGAGAAAGAGGAGAGGAGGGAAGAACAGACCACAGAAAAGCCACCTAAAACAAGAGAAGCAGCACCAGTTCCACTTCTTATGCAGCTCAGGGGAGAATTACCCCATCAAATATTAAGTCACCACAGATAGGTGACTTTCGGCCTAGACCACGGTCTTTGAAAGAACTATGGTCAGCCTCTCTCACCCAGCAGGTGACTACAGGCCTGGTGCCCAGCATTCGGAGCCCAGCCGTCTGCCTACTGTCTAGAAACATCTGCCCTCCCAAACACCAGAAGCCAAAGGATCCAGCAAGGGTGTACAGCAACCTTGCCCCCTCCGACTGGTCCCAGATGGAAAACCATGCTAAGAAGAGGAGTGAAATAAATACGGCTTTCAACCACTGGATGGGCCTGGTCCCAGAAAGAATAATGACTCCTTTTAGCGATGCACTTTTCAGGCTTAAGTGCCTTTCCAAGTTTCTGTCTGAGTTTTTGTGAAAGTCACTTTGTAGCAACTCTGTTTCCTTGCCTGGCCTTGGGGCAGCTTCAAAAGATAAAGACACCCAGCTGCGAGGAAAATATAATGGGGAAAAAACGTTTATCACCAGCCTCTGCAATGAATTCAACTAATGTTCATCTGAATTAACAAGTCACAGGTAGCACATGTGAGTCCATACAATTTTCTTTTAAAGTACCGAGGGAAAAAATCTGTAGTCTTTTAAATTTGCTCTAAGGAGAAGCCCTGAGACCTTAGGGGTCTGACAGAGCCAGAACTGAAACTTGTTTTTCCACCTTGAGAAAAACAATAAGGAAAATAGATCCCAGCAGGGCGTGGTGGAGGCCCCAAGCTTGTTATTCCAACACTCAGGAGGCTGACACAAGAGGATCCCTGTGAGTTCGAGGCCAGCCTGGGCTACATAGTGAGTTCAAGGCCAGTCTGCACTACATAGGGAGACCTTGTCTCAATTAAAGAACAAAAACAAAAACAAAAACAAAAACAACAAACCCCAAGTCATTGCGGGTACCGGGAAGTCACATTCTGGAGCTGAGTTTCAAAGACCCCAGGCACTTTCTTCCCAGAATGCACCAGCAATGGAGAGTTGCGGGAGGATTTTAGCGCTTGGCCCTGGGGGCAGGGTGCGGTAACATCCACTTGGGGGCCTCTGAGGCTCTGGCTGCAACACAGAATGCGCCTGTGTTGCTTTCTGGAGCGTCCTGCCAGCTTTAATAATCGCTTCGGTATGATCTGCTCGGGCAGAAGGTGTGCACGGGCCGCATCCAGCCCGCTCTCCAGCCAAGGGGAGTTTAAGTCTGCACTTTTCCCTCCTCCTACTATGAAAGAGGCTTTTAATTCTCTCCACCCCTCCCCCTTGCCCTGTAAAGTTTGTTTTCAAGCTGTAAACTCGCTCGGCTCTCGGTTTCCCTCTCCATCGCCCTCGACTCGCATTCATTCGCCAAGTTTGCGTAGGGAAAAGCAAAGCTATCTTTGTGCACGTAATGAGAGCCATCGCGCGGACAAGCGGCAGCACCGGGAAGAAGGAAGTATTTCTGTCCCGGGCTGCGGAGCGCGGGCAGGGGCAGGGTTAAACCGGTCCGAGGCGTGTTGGGTGCAGCAGTTCCTAAAGCAGCCCAGGCAGCGAGGCCGCCTTCGAAGCTGGCAAACAAAGCGTCTCCGCAGTAACCGCGCGGTCCCAGACGCGGCTGCAGCCACTCAGACCACGGAGTCGCTGCGTCGCGGCCCCCGGGGCTCCTCCTCCCTGCGTCTCTCCTCCTCCTCTCCCGGCTCCCCAGCGGATGCGAGCCACCAATCCCAGCAACAAACAACCCTTCAAATGCGGAGCGAGGCGGCCTCCAACGGGCGGCGGGACGCGCGCCCCTCTCCTCCGCCCCTGCCAGGCGCCCGGGAGCAGCGCTGATTCATCTCCAGCCGGGGCGGCGCGGTGGCTTCTCCCCGGGAGCGAGCCCCCCACCCCAGCCCGCCCCGGGCGTGTTTCAGATGTGTGTTGTCCTCGGTGGCTGCCGTGCAATCGGCAAAACCGCACAAGAAAAAAAAGCATCCTAAGGCTGCTGCCTGCTTACAGTGACGCTTCTTTCCTGCTGATTCATTTGAAGCCCAGGTCACTGGAAAACCCACCCGTGCTTTTTAAGCTCTGGCCTCCACGCACCCTCGGGGAGGGGGAGGCTGGATTCAATTTTCAGCGTGATCTTATACAGAGCCTATAGTTAGTTCTTGTTCTTCCCTAGATTTAATTTTCTTTCCACGCAGATTCCTGCTGCCGAGGTCTCCGTCCAGGTTACAAAACAAAACAGCCCAGCGCCGAAGCAGACGGCTCCGGCGCTGACTTCGCTGCTGGGCTTATTTACATTCGGGCTTGCCTTTTCTTTCTTTCTTTTTCTTTCTTTCTTCTTCTCTTCTCTCTCGTGTTCTGAGAAGTCTTACTCGGGCGCATGACAGCTCGTTTGCTTCAAAATAACAGGACCTATCCACGCGAAAGGCAGACGCGGAGGAGGGGCACGCGTGTTTTGAGATCAGCCCCTCGGCATTTGGTCTTTCAAAGGGGGGTTTCAACCAGGAACTCCTGTTGGAGTCCTGCCTCTCCACCAAAATAAACCGACATGTGTTGACTTCATGGCTAGTTTCTGTTTGAAATACTGAAGGGGAGGGGGTGTCCCCTGGCGGCGTTTGAGTCCTAAAAGTAGACAGTGTTTACCGAAACGGATGAGCAGTCACGGCGCGGTTGCCCCCTCCCTCTGAAGGCGGCAGCTGTCGGGGTCCGGGGGTGGAGGGGTCGCGGCAGGGCAGAGCGCGCCCGGCCGTCCCCGAGCTGAGACGTTTAAAGAGCATGTGAGCGTGACAAGTGTCTGCGCAACGTGTTCGATTTCGAAACTGCCATGCAATCCAATCCGGAACTCGCAGCTCTAGCCTCGGGCAGCAGACAGACATTCGCCCTGGGTGTCTCCGTCTCGTACACCCACCCCCCAGCCCCACGGTGGCCGTGGGAGGAAGAGCCCCGGAGGAGAGGGTGCGCCGCGCCGCGCCCGCGTGTCCAAGGCAGCCGCGCGTTCTGGAAGAAGTTGCTGCTTGTCCCGAATACTTTTCCTCTCGCGCCGCGCCCCGCCCCTTGAATCACCAGCCCGCTGTCTACGGCGGCTGGAGCAGGCTTCGTGGAGTTCGGGGCAGCTGTCAAAAAGCGAGAGGCTTTTCCTCCCCGGGGTGGAGGAGGGGAGGGAGGGGGCGTCCTCTTTTCCATCTGTTGCAATTTCCTAGCCGGGCGCGCGCTCGCCAGCCCTGGGAAGAAAGGCCCGAAGGCCGGGCGAGGGATGCGGGCGGCGCGCGCGCAGCCTGCGGGGACTATCGCGTTTCTGGGCTCGGGCACCCCCACGGGGGGCCGGTGACAGCGGCCGGGTCCCCACGGCGGCGGCGGCGCTCCGTCCGGTCGGGCCC